TAAATTTAAGTGAAAATTGAAATAAAATTTTTTTTTGCTTTCCCCAAAAACAATCATTTTGTCAATACAAGCAAAAGGTTTTTTGATGTATCTCCAAAACGACTGGACCTGTCTTTGCCAAAAACTAATCAGCTCGTCTTCCTATCAATAGCGATTGCTTGTTGAATCATTCAAATTGGTTGATTTGTGCTCCCGAAAACGTGGACAAAACATTGTATCCCCACATGCACACACACACATACATCAACATTTTAAACTTAAATATGTCAAAATGTTCAGAAACCTCCGAAACGTAAAGATATGGAAATTTTTTTATTTTCTATTATTCGATTACTATAACTTACCCTAAGGAAAATTAATAAGATATGGCACAAATTTATTTAAATTTCAAAAATATAATAATCTACATTATTAAATTAGTGTGTTATCATATTTTAAATATATTTCAAGATTACAGTAAACGAATGCGTGTAATATATAATAATATGTATATTTGTTTACAAAATATGTATAAACTAAGATATGTTCCATACTGATATATAACATGTGTGCATGCATACAATGAGATCTCAATTAAAACTAAAAAGTAAACTTAAACTAATTTTCAGATATAAAACATAAAGTGAAATGTAATAAATAAAATTGCTCACTACGACAAAAATCATCAGGTAAAAATCAAACGATATTAATGTTTTTACATATATAAGAAACAAATATGTTAATCAGAAATATAAAAAATACCAAGAATTGCTATCGCTGTTTCAATTATTATTTTAAATATAATAAGTTTAGTTGTATGATTCATTTTAATTCACTGAAATTCAATTTAATCATATACGTTTGTCTACAACATTTTGCGGTTGCAAATCTTGAACATTCTGACAAACACTTCCTATGAAATCATAATTTGTTCACAAGATAAAGTTCACTTATATGTATTTATATTGTTTTAATGTATTATGTAGATTATCAAACAAAATAAAAATTTATACGTAGGCTTATAGTTTGCACGGTTTTTAACACTATACTTTTGAAATTAATTGTTTTTGATTCAAGTAATATAAAAAGTGACACTTTAACGATTTGAGCCGGAATTAGACTCAGCTTAGGAACCTGTCTTTATCAATTTGTCTTAACAATTATTATGTGATAGAGTAACAAAACACATGGATAGACCATATATATATATATATATATATATATATATATATATATATATATAACTCAAACATAGATAGAATCGTTCCGGCATTGACGAAAAAACGCATATGCTTGCATTTCTTTGTTCTCACATTAGAAATCATAAATGCAACATTATTTTGGGGGCGACTTGCCCGTTGATACATCTGCCTGTCAGCTGTTTCTAATTTCTATAGATAATTGTCATTTACTTTTGTATTTTACAATGTAATAATATAATTTGTACTGAAATGTGAGAATTCCAACAGTTTTAAAAGAACAGCATAGCATTGAATGCATATTGTCAAATCAAACAACTTATATGCACTTTGTAATGGATTGAACACCTTTATTAGTTTTAGGGTTCGTATGGGTTTGTTGGTTCGGGGTTCGGTACTGAATCGTGTTTCTTTACATAATAATAAGTTATACTAATACAATTGTATTAAAATTAAACAGTATTCTATTTCAAATTATCACATCGTCCTGTTCTATACATTTGTATACAAATAGTACAGTTCATACAAAAAATCTTTTTTCTTTTATTTTTTTATTTTTAGCAATATATAAATTTCATATATAACCATATCTCAGACAAGCAGTATCAATATTGTATCAATATTAAACAACTTAAACAAATAATATTAAAATTACTATATTTTGATATCTGCCATGAATATAAATTGACTGATAATGGCATAAACTTTTATGTCGAAACGTTTGGGAAATTAAAGATTATTTAAGAAATTTCTGCTATTATTTGATGTATTGTCTTAAAAGAACTAAAAACTCTGCGAAACTTTAAATGCTCTTTTTTCGAAGTGTCTTTTTCTGTCAAAGGTATGGTCAGGTGCCAATCTTTGAGATACCCCACTAAATTTTTTTTGACAATTTTCCATTTTTTGTTTAGACTTCTAAAGAAAAGTATAGCAAAAACATTGTATGCCCTTTTTACGATCTTTCAAAAATCGCAATAAATTCATGCCTCTAGACCAGAATACCCTCTTTAGAAAGCATAATAGAAATTTGTTATACATTTTAGTTTTGCAATTTTATTTTTAGTTTGCAAAGGGATAGGACTATGCCCGGAACGTATGAATTTTAGAATAAATTTAATAAAAAAATCATGTGTCTTGTAGGGCTCGCCCGTATGTAAGCGGTTAAGAGCGACGGGACCTAAATCAGAGGTCCCGGGTTCGATACCCACTTCGAGCAGCCTGTTGTCAGGCAGCAGTGACAACGATTTTCACTTGGAAATATAGATAGCAATATGTTTCCAAGTGAAAATTGCCCTCACCCGACATTGCTGCACCAATAAGAAGTCAGCCCTATTAGATTAATTCTAATAACAAAAATCATGAAATATGGATGGATTAACCATTGGGTTACCATCTAAAAAATATGAAGTAAGGAGATGTTTCAGCCCAACAGCTCATAGAACGTAAGGTTCTGATTGCTGTTAAAAAATATTAAAAAAAAATGTTTCTTATTGATGTTATGCCCGATGATTAGATCTGTTTATATATAATTGGTTTTCATCTGTGTTTTCCTACATATGTAATGCATACAATTACGTCGATCTCGGCAACCTGAGCAGGACAAACCTTCCTTAACAAAAATAGCATTGCGACGTTATTATGCAATGCGCCTCATAAACCCTCTTAGTTCTGCCACAGTCGGTCTCGCTCTAACGCATCTATTGTACCTGTGCGCCGTCACGCTCCGCTCTAGCCACCTGTCAAAAACGAGACGACGCTCCTTGACTATATCAATGGAATGGATATAATAAAATAATATAGTAAATACATTTTTTAATAAAATACACATAACTAATTTGTTAGATTTATGCGGTTATTGTAAGTAACTTTGATACGCGACTCTTTATTCTGGGCTTTGTATTAGTCATATGCGGTGTCCCGACACTAGGGCTTTACAAACATTTGATAAACACAAATAAAGATTTTTTTCATATTTGCGCTTATTTTATTATCGAACATCAGCAATTTATTTTAAGTACTGAAAATGACTAAATCAAATGCCAATCGAGTATTTGAACATCCGGGTTACTTATAATGAATAACACCACACATTATTAGAGTTATTGCAGGCCAAGTTTATGATGGCATTTGTTATATAGTATTGGTGTACAAAACACTAACATCTAAAGAAAAAAATTTTGTTACCCTGAAACCCTAGATAAAAATAAAATCAGAATACGCGCGTGAATTACTAGTTATTAAGCAGATCTAAATTTATTGTAGTAAAATGGTTTGACAAAATACAAAAAAATTCTGAATACAATGTATACAATCATGGATTTGAGATTTTTTAACACACGATAAATGACATAACAATATATATATATATATATATATATATATATATATTATATAAATAAATTAATTTTATTTGGCCTTGTTTACTCTGAGCATTTAGCCATCTACAACATTTTTATTTATTTACATTCTATACTAATTTTTATATCATATTCAATCTATATATATCCTATTCTATATTTATCTTAATTTTTCTTTTTCATATCAAATTTCTAATTCTATTCTTTATATAAAAAAATATTTATATATTAAAAAACATGTATTACAAGATTAATATTTTTTATACTTACTCATAACTAAATTCTTCTTCAAATTTGTCGTATAAAATATAAATTACTGATTTTTTTCTATTTATATTAAAATTGTTAATTAACTTTTAATAATCTTATCACAAAACTCTGTATTTTCATCAATATAAGACTAATTAATAAATTGAGATTTATATAACCAAAACAAACAGTTATATTATACTGTTAATAAAATATTATATTACAACACTATAATCGCAAACTGTCAAAATTTCACACTAAATCTGATTCTAAAATCTGGCCTTCAAAATGCATAAATGTGAAATAAATTTTTTATCAGTTGTGCAATTTTCTGTTGTGACATACGTTTTGATAACACATATGTAAAGTCTAATCAAAGTTAGTATTTCGACGTTTGTACATTTTGGAGGATAGGTCTTATGTACTAAACGGACTGTTTGTCACTATCAAATCGATTATAACCCAGTCTCATAAAATGATAATTGGCAAATTAAATCTCAATTCATGAATTGTCTTGTCTATGATCGATATAAGACGGACATACAGACCATTAATAAATATGCATTTCATATAATTTGGAAGTGGATAACAAAATTATGAACTACATCTTTTTGGCGCAATTATGTATCTTCGATAAAAGTTTAATCGAATTGTTATATATCAGAATCTTCTATCACAATTGCATCTCGCAATTACATAGTCCTGCGCCGTCTATTAACTATATTAATAACTATAATAATATATAATATATAAATAATATATTATATTATCATACTGTATAGACTGACAACTCTTCCAAACGAAGTAAAATTAATTTGTTTATTTGTTACTACTATTTATCATATAACGTCTTAATTGCAAATTGTTGTTGCAAAAATGAGCCAATAAGATTAAACATTTATTATAAAAAACAAACCCAAAAATATAGCCCGCAGCAATATATTAAATGCGGAGTGAGTAATTTATAATATCTAAAGATCTAATTTTCTAAAGTATGCCTGTCATATTTAATTTTATTGTGCGTAATATCTTATTATTTTGTCGTGAGGTATTAAAAAGATAAGGTTTTCTAAATTATGTATCTTCGATAAAAGTTTAATCGAATTTTTATTATATCAGAATTTTCTATCACAATTGCATCTCGCAATTACATAGTCCTGCGCCGTCTATTAACCGTCTGCCGGCAAGCCGAAACTGAGTCAGTCGCCCTCTGAATTTCGTGCGCGTGGGACGTCCTCTCGGCCTATCATTTAATGAAGATCAAATTAACACGTGCTTTTCGATAAAATTACAATTTCGGACAAAGTGCAATAGATAAATAATTTATATGAGCTTTTTAAGTAATTGACAAATTAGTGAAGTGTTATTAGTGACTAAAATTTAGTGAAGTTCCTATAAAGTTTGATTTAAAATCCAGTGTTCACCATGGCCTGGGAAAGGGGTTTGATCTTCGTTTGGATAACGGTGGCAGCTAGTTTAATAGGTAGATTTTAATAATTGTTATTAATTGATAATATACATATTTTGATATATATATATATATATATATATATTTTAAGTACTACCAAAAATTTGCAGGTGTTCCATATGGAATAGGTTCAAATATTGAAAAAAATCTATTATTATCTGGAATACTATATACATGATTGTTATTTCTAAATAAATATTACTTCATTATTATTTTTTAATTTTGAAAATTAAATAATCTGACGAAATACATGGAAAGACTGTTAACCCTTTCCACTCGGATGCCGCCGCTCCGGTGGCAAAATACATATTAATTCTAGAATTAACGAATGGAAAGTGTTAATAAATAATAAGTAATTTGGCTGTTGATAATAAACAATATTTCTTGTTGTTTTTCTAAGAAATGTAATGATGCAAATCAAACAAATAATGTAACATTGTAAATAATTATATAATTAGAATTAATAGTTCATTAAAGTTTATCTCATTATTCATTATTTACTTGAAAATTTTTACAAAACACAAGCCCTTCATTAGCTTTAGAACAAAAATGCAATTGTTATGTTATGCTAATTTTTTAGCACATTGCCAAAAATTTGAAAGATTTTTGGGATTTTGATTTTTATTATATTTACAAAATTATACAATAATAAATTAAATTATTCCAATTTTTTACATATAAAACCAAATTACAAATATAATGTAAAATGTTTGAACCATTTAATATCTTGATGGCATGAAGCTTGATATTATGTTTTTATTAATTGGTTTGCACAATTTCTTTAGAGAATTAACACCTTTTCTACAAAAGTAGTGTCAAAGACAAAAAAAATAGTAACTAATATACTTGGCTATAGGCTAGAATATCTATATTATTAAGAGCAGGTTCCAGGATTGATAACCATTTCGGCCACCTTGATATCTAACATAGTATGATATCAGATTTTCACTTAGATTATAGATTCAAATATAATTGAAAATGAAAACAAAGTTATATTTTGGAATTTTTAAAAATTTTGTCCATTCACATACTTTATTAGATAAAATTAAAGATTTTTCATGAAACATCTGCATGCATTTATATACTATTTTAGGGGTTTCTAAATATTTTTAGAGTTTGGTAACAATTTATGTTTTTTTTGGGAGATTCTGCGACATTTGTAAACATTTTCTGGAGCTCACTTTTTTGTGCAGTGCATACTTTTTTGACTGGTTTCAATCTTTTTTGATTGTAAAATAGAATCTAATAAGAATTTCATCAGCATGACATCTTTTACCCATTGGGTTGCCTTATACAAACACATGGTTAAGGAAAATAAATGCAACAACTTATAAAATACATAAAAATCATTGATTTTTAAGTCTATGAAGAAGTACTTATTAAAAAAACACAAGATACCTTTAACAATATGAGTTCTTGATTTAATTAATTTTTATGCGATAATAAGGTTTACCGTGCTCATTTTGAGCAATTTAATCATAAACTTTAAATTATAAAAGAGGCTGATATTCCTAATTATATTGCAATTGGATTCGCTTTTTCAAGACTTTTTCCTTGTTCACAAACTATCTTAAAATATCAAAGTCAACTTAGTATCAACACTCAAACTTTGTTTTATGTTCTTTTCTTTTTTTATTGTTACTTTATTTGCAATCTACTATTTTTATTATGTATTTAGAATATTAGTTAATCTTCTTAAAGTCACCTTGATTACAAACATATTTTAATCAACACAAAAAGGATACCAATGGGTAAACTTCATTTTGGTCATAACATTACATATTGTCAATCATAATTATTATTTTTTTTTCGTATTTTAAGAACTAATTGTAATTGAATTTTGAAAAATAAAAAAAAACTTAATACGCAGTACATAAATAAATTAAACTATTTAATCTTATTTACTCCTTTAGTTATTATAAAAATTCTTAATATTATACATTATTCTACCAGAGCTATGTTTACAACTACTAATCTAATCACATATTAATTTAATTATTGTTTTAATAACAATGCAGGCATTTGATTAAACGCTTGATTGGACTTTTGTTATTCCATTATTCGAATGGCAACATAGATTATAATGATTTGTATCGAATGGATTTCTAAATTTGTTGCTTGTTCATATATATCAGACAAAAACATTGGGTGCCAATGAAGAAATGTAACGTTTATAAACGCAGATCATCGTACCGAAATAACTTTATTCGTCCCAGAGAACAGAGAGTAACCTACATCTAACCCAGATATTTCTCGAGGATGAGATGTTGAGCTAGGCTGTTGACTTTAAGGACGGATAATTGATTATGTTCTAATGTTTTATTATCATTGCATATATTTACATATGTAATAATGAATTATTTAAAATATTAATACCTTAGTGAAGGAACATAGACATGCAAAATTATAATATAACGCCATACGATCCTGACAGCCTGTTACCAACAATTGCCATGTAATACAGTATTTACCATATAAATGATTTGTTATTTTATCACAATAAATTTATAAATTTTTCGTTTCTGTTTAAATTCATGCTTTTCTAGAATCACTTAAAATCGCACATCATTAAACTTATTTATATTTTTATTTTTTACTTCACTTCATAATTTTCCTTTAGTTTCTTAATTATTATTACTTGACAAGTAAATGAAGATATAATTTTTTTCGGAAAACAAACAGTTTTTCTTTTTGTTATATATAGAATTATAGAAGCACATAATTATATATATATATATATATATATATATATATATATATATATTGTATCATATCACACATAATGCAATAAAAATTTCAAAGCTGAAAAAAACTCGTTAGAAAGATGTTTTAAATTTTAGTAAAACTTTCGAAAAATCTTTGAAATACTAGTGCCCAAAGCTGTCTTTGTTACAGTATTAATGTAGGTATTAAATAAATAATGTAGGTATAATTTTGTTATAGTATACTGTATAATTTTTAAGGTTTGATTTTGGTAATACAGAGGTAATAAAAATAACTTAAAATTTCAAAATTTAAATGATGAATTATGTTTCATATTACGAATTATGAAACTTATCATATGAAGAAGAAAGTGTTATTACGTCACCATTCACAAATTGGTCTTACTAACAACTGGGTAAGCTTTATTTCACTTTTTTTGATAATATTAATAATTGCAGATTATATGAATAAAAAGACACAATTTAAAGAAATGAAAAAAAAAACACTTAGAAATAATATTATTATTTGGACTCATATTATTGTTTATTGAGAAAACAAATAGATTTACTAGTGGTGTATGACATCATACCTTAAGGCAAATTGCTGGAACTTTCCGTACCATAATGAAATATTCGAGGAATATTAAATGTTTCCAAATAGCTTATTATAAATGCTGTAGCTTTCATTATTTTTATTTTATAGACAAAATATAGGAGCTTATGGATTGGATGACGACGTTTATATCTGCTTACAAACAAGTAGATTAGCTAGTGGGGTGTATGGCATCGTGCCTTAAGGCAAATTGCTGGAACTTCCCGTATCGTAATGAAATATTTGAGGAATATTGAATGTTTTCAAATAGATTATTATAAATATTGTAACATTGTCTAATATTTATAAGAATTATATAAACTGCATTGCAAAGTTGAAATCATTTGCTTAAACTTTAAAGTATATTAGAACTTTAGTCAGAATTAAAAATAAAATCTGAATTATTTTCGATATAGAAAAAAAAATTTTTTTTGAAAAAAATATTGAAAAAAAAATTTAAAACAAAAATTTGTTAAAACAAGCAGAAAGTTCTCTGAAGCATATAAATCGGGCGTTTAGTTTTGAGAAAAACTGCCATTTTTTGCACATTTAGCCTTGTATCTTCGAAATTGCTGGGCCTGCCTTTGCCAAAAACTAAAAACCACTTCTCCCAATCATAACTAATTGAATGTTTTGTAGAGCATTCAAATCGGATGCTCCGTTCTCTCAAAAACTCGATTTCTATTTTTTGCACTCTTTGCTCTTTATCTCCGTAACTGCTGGATCTGCCTTTGCCAAAAACTAATCAGCACATCTCCCTATCAATAGGAATCGAATGTTTTTTGAACCATTCAAATCGATTGATCCGTGCGCCCGAAAACGTGAACGAAAAATTGTATCCATACATACATACACACACACATACATCCATTATTTGTGAGGTGTGCCAAAATGTTCAGAAACCTTCAAAACGTCGAGAAATGCAAAAACTTTCAATTTCGATTTTTGGACGATTACAATAACTTACCCTACGGGAAGTTAATAAAACTCAATTAATCAAATTTACAATAAAAGACATGGTCTAATATTTGTAAGAATTATATAAAATGAATTGCAAAGTTAAAATTATTTATCTGAATTATATAAGTGAGCTTTAGAAATTTAACTAAAATTAGAAATAAAATTCCAAATATTTTCGATATACAAAATTTTTTTGGAAATTAAAAAAAAAGTTGAATTAAAGAAAATCTTTTCCCAAAAGCAATCAGCGATAATTCTCATTTATAAAACAATCACCCTATATTGGAGGAGATTTTCTATTCAACAACTTGTCAAGAAGAGCCCATTGTTATAGTCTGATCTCTGAACTGTAAAACAAATTTCGTTTAACTTATTTACAACGAGGACTTGTACTATGCTGATATTCAAACATTTTTAACTAAACTTCATCAATTAGTATCACAAAACTCCCAAATTTTGAAGCAAACCAAATTTTATCAAGTACTCTCACTTGTTATAAGGTGCCCTATGAACTGCTAAACAAATTTCACTAAACTTGTTTGCTATCTCAGTTTTGTTACTAAACCATCATGAACTACCCCTAAAGCACCCTGCTCGAGGGGTTTTGAGCATCTGAAGGGGTCCTACCGGGTACTCTCAACGTAAACGGCGAAGTTTGAATCGAGTTTTCAAATGCTGCGGTGAGACGATACCGGCACGATAGTAATTACATCCCATTAATTATATTATTATGAAACCGCGGAGGCAATGAGTCACGTACT